AGGAGTGATTCTCTCACAAGTGAAACTCAACTCCTTATTACTGGAGTTTGTTTTTCTTTCTTTTTTTTTTTTTTTTTCTTTTTTTCTTTTTTCTTTTTTTTTCTTTTCCCTTTAAAAAAACCCACCTGATTTATCTTGAAAGATTCTAAACTCCTTAAGCAAGCAGTAGGGTCTGTGTTGGTAAGTAGGGAGTGCGTCTTTCTAGCTTGATGACTTTAATTGTTTGTGCTTGCTTTGTCTGCTGAGCCTTTGCTTAACAAGTTTAATATTTAGAAATGTTGAATCTTTGTTTTCGCTGCCTTGTGGTCACATTACGGCGTTTGGTGATTAAGCGCTACCGAGGCGAACACATTTGATAATGTTCTAATTCACACAGCGGAGGGCTGGGTGCCACCGTGCAGGAGGACCTGCTTTGTTCCATTTTCCAGGCGCTAATAAATCACCGGCTCCTAATGCGGGGCCAAAAAGGAGATGGAGAGGCGGCGAGCATTGTAAAGGAAAAGTCACGGGCGAATTTCTCTATGACTCATTAGTCTGAACGATTTATGTAGGAACTTAAAGTGGCGCAATGAATATTAGAGTTTGGGATAACAACAAATTAAAAAAAATAATAATAATGTCCTAGCGTTTGTAAAGTGCTTTATTGCTACTTAGCAACTCTTTCAAGAGGAAGCGTAGTTTAAAGGGCCGTGGCAGCGTAATATATGGCGGTGTGACTTAATAGCTCCAAAATAAATAACAGAAAGTCGCTGGCACCGTTTGCAGATACACACTCCATATTTAACACGAGTGGGGCCGCCCGGTCCCGGCTCTCTTGATCGATGCTGATGGCCGCTCGTAGCGAGGCTATCGATGAGGGGTCGGGGCGGGGAGGTGCGGGCTGAGCCCGCGGTGCGGGGTGCCCTCCGAGAGGGGCGGATGGAGCGCCGGGGGCGGCTGGGCACGAATGGCGGCTGAACTCGCCGAATCCTTCGGTGTTTGCCAGGAGATTGTAGCAGTCAGCGCTCTGAAATTTATGAGACGGCAATAAACAGCTTAGGAGGCTATTATTGCATGATTTTATGTAGGCTGGAGTTCAACACCAAATTTAAAATTATTAGAGTAATTATGGGACTACTAAATTACCAACGCGAAATATCTGCTGGAAAAGTTCTCCCAAGACAGACTTAATATTTCCAGGGCTCAGAAGACATTCTTCTACGAGAACTGTGTTATTTAATTATTAGCATTTACATTTACTGACAATTTTCAGACGCGTTAGACGGCTTTTATTAGCGAGAATGAATAGAGGGGGCACGTTATTACATCTGACAAATTCATAAGTAAACGTGATTCAGTAAGTGGCACCCGAATAATCTGACTATTGTCTCTTTGGATTGTGCAATATTGTTTATTTTAGGGGGAGTGAGGCCGTCCAGTTTTCTCCCCGTCTGTTGGCTTTCAGTGCCGGTGTTCTCGCGTTGTTCTTTTTTTTTCTTTTTTTTTTTCTTTTTCTTTTTTTTCTTCTCCCCCCCCTCCCCTCTTAAGCCTTTCGGGCCCGATGCTGCTTCGGCGAAGTCAATTATCAGCCTCTTCCTGCGCTACTGGGGCCAGGATCGGGCCCCGCTCCCTGTTTGAATGAGAGCCCAACCACAATACTCTCCGCATTGAAACTGGAACTCGTTCCGCGTTTTATTCAACAGAGATGAACACCACTGGTTGTGTTTAATGTCTGTTCTTGATTAAATGATCCTAAACAAAGGTTTCCCAGAGGAAAATAAAGCAGACATTCATGTAACAAGAGTTTGGAATGACAATATTTCCAAACACTTGGAGACAGAAGGCATAGTTGTCTACGGGAGGGGAGGGGGGGGGAAGAAAAAAAGAGCCCCACGCTTTTATTTCTCAGCTAGCAGCGCTCCTGGCCCCGCCGGAGAGTTGCGGCCGTGCGGGGCCGTCCCGGCACAGCCCACCCCGCCCGCGGGCGGCCGAGCGCCGGCCCCGCTTCCCCCGTTAAGGCGTTGTTTGTCGCTTGTTTGCAGAGCGCCCGGCGCCCCGAAAAGCCCCGCTCCGGGCGGCGGCAGCGCTCCGGCCCCGGCCTCGGCGGCGGGACGAGGTAAGAGCCGGGACCGGCCCTGTGCCGGCCTCGTACCTGAGAGGGGCGGTGAGAAATATTTAACCGAGCCGGGGGTTCGGTGGCTCGTCTCTATTCATCTTCCGCCTCTGCGAATGCGCGTGTCCGGGCAGACAAAGCGACGTGCGGGACCCGAGTGCCTGAGCCCTTATAAAGGCGCCGGGAACAGGAAGGATGCGAAGTCGTCTGAGGAGCCAAAGAGCTTGAGGATTTCTTCGTCCTCCTTTCAAAATCGCAGGCGTAAGGGGGAGAGGGAGATAGCTGGAGCACGGCGGGGCTGAGTTCTTATCGCTGCCGGTCTGTCGGCGGCTCCTGGAGGGGCCGTGCGGCGGTGCCCTGCCACGGGACACGGCTGTGCGTGGGTGCTCACACCCACAAAAAGCTCAGGTAGCTGCCCGGCCCGGCCCGCCTCGCCCCGGCCGTGGGCTGATGCGGTTGGTGCCCGAGCCCTGGTGCTCTGGCAGGGACCGGCGATGCTTTCCGTAGCGATCGTGTTCCCCTGCCAGCCGCAGAGGAGGGAGGATTAGAGAGAATTAGCGTAAATTCCTGCTAGATTTACCTGCTTATTTTTGGACGCTGATGTACAATTAGTGTATTTTACAACCTTTTAAAAGCGGTCATAAATTACAGGACTACAAGGGCTCTTTGTGTCGGTTTAATGAGCTGCTTAAATCTTAACTACAAAAAGGCGCTGCGGACGTCCACTCACGGAAATTTAAAAGCGAAAACACGGTGTGAGGAAACCTTCCTCCTGTGGCACGCACCCGCAGCATTTCGTGCGGAGATATTTGGGATTCCTAAGGTGCCCCGGCGCTCAGCCTCAGCTGCCTCCCGGGGCAGCTTCCACCAGGGCACGGGCGCTAGCTCTGCTCTTTTTATCTGCTTCGAAGTGATCAAAGAGCGACTTTATCTCGATCAGCCTCGCAGATGTAGGTAAACAGCTCCGCATCCCAACAGATCCCTACTTTCGAGGAAGAGAGGAAATAAATACTCGTGTAGTGCGGCGATTCCCATGTCCTCTCCGCATGGGAGTGACAACCTGACCTCTTAACGACTGCCATAAACGTAAACATGAAAGACGGCAGAAATTCGAAATTTATTTGTACTGAAGGTAACTTTAAATCACATTAATGCTAGGAGAGTTTATTGGTGCCAGAGCTGGCAAAAGGGTTTCTCGTAACGAGTGCACGTTACGAACTCAGATCTGTTTGTTGTTATCGAGGCTGGAATTTCAGCCCAACTCGGAGCCATGTGTGTAAAGCACAGAAAAATCAGTAGCAGACTCACTGAGAAACGCCACGTTTTCTTTTTCTTTTCTTTTCTTTCTTTCTTTTTTTTTTTTTTTCCTCTCCCAGAAACAATGTTTCAGGTCTCCAAATCATCGAGGTCATAAAACACAGTGTTGAATGTCCAGGAACAGGAACAAAGTAATATATGGGATGGCGGAGGAAATCTAACGTCTGCTACTTACACGGTCCTTTGAATTCGTGTTTGTAAACCCGTGATCATAAGTAGTGGAGCAAAGAAAACCTTCTCCAAATTCGGCGGGGGGAATCATTTTCAGCTGCCACCCAGGACAGTGTGCAGCAGGGAGGACTCCCCCTCAGCCCTCCCGAAGCACACTGAGTCAGGTATTCAGCCGTCAAGGAGTTACTTTTCTCAAGAATTAATTAGTTTCCCCACTGCAGACACGAAGTTAATTGTTAAACAGTAGTTTTAGCATTAACTTGACCATTAATACTAATAAAGATGTTCATAGAAACGGGGTTTTGAAGCCAGTGGCCGTAGCTAGCGTTAAGGCATTTAAGCTGACTTATGATTGTGATTTATTGCTTTTGTAGTTTCTATTTGCTCAGGACTGCAACTTCTAAAGCCATCTTTCTGCTTTTGACGCAAAGCAGTCGATAACTTTTTACAACGGCCCCTAGAAAGACTTGCTCTGCTTTTTTCAACATCTGCTCCATTCCCCATTAATTTCGGCCTCATTGTTGCAGGGGAACTTCTCTCTGTGTTTTTTTTTTGATGGGCCCAAAACGCGCTGTATTCAAAAGAGCCATGAATCCGCCCCGTCCAGTAAATCTCAGCCTTGGTTTACGTTTAGGACGAGGGCTACGGAGTGCCCTATGGAGTCCCACGTGGTGCTGCTAGCTGCTGCCTTGTCGTATGCGGATAATGCTCTCCTCTCTCTTTCAGAGGTGTTATCATTTTTATTCCAGTTCCTAGTGAGGGATAATGTATGCGTGCCCTGTCACGAGCTTAGTGACTTCCCTATGAAAAATTGCAAATTCTTCCTCTGCTGTAATGTCACGCTGACTTTGCTGCACTGTCCACTCATATACGCTGTTACTGATGGGTTTAAATTCCAGTGGCCCACTTTTACAGCCCAAGTGAGAGTAGGAAGGCATGCCCCTAGCAGTAAAAATGGCCTTCCAAAAGAAATCCCCTTCCTTTCTGCTCAGTGGAGCGCAGGTGAAACGCTAAGGGGGGATATGCAGTTGGCTGAAAGTTTTCTTCGAGCCCGTGGGGGTGGTGGAAAGGTTTAGGCAAAGGTATTCACATCACAGCGCATAATGCTGGAGTCACAGGACGCAGTCAGGAACACGTTAAAAGCGAGATCCGTCCGAATCTCTGCGACTCCGTCCAGAAAAGTTGGGTGAGATTAGGGCTTCTTTTGTTTGTTTAGCTTATTGTGTCAATAGCAGAAGTTAAACTGCCTTGCAGGGAAGATGTGATGTGTTCACACACAGGCGAGTCTGGCTCGCTGGGCAGGCTCGGGGGCCGAATAGGGCTTCTTCTTTTTCTTCTTCTTCTTCTTCTTTTTTTTTTTTTTTCTTTTCTTTTCCCCCTCAGGCAGACAGCTCCCCCTCCCCATTTTTTTTTTTTTTTTTTTTTTTTTCATCGTTAGAAACCTATAATTTTGTGCATCACTCAAACTAGCTGTATAGGAAATGCGTAAGCACAGGTTTAACAGCGAGGTCCCAAAAGGTTTTGCAAAATTCAGAGGCACGCCAGTGAAGGAAGGTGTGTGCTCCATAGTGTGGTACAAGGACAAAAATCAACTAGCCTCTTAGAAGAGACCCTTTTTTGCCTTTGTCAGGTAATTATAGGTCTTTTTAGTTTCTGCAGGAGCCCCGATGTAACGTGTGGGAGGCAGCAAGCCCTGCACAATGGAGGGCAGAGGCGGCCGGGGAGGGGGGGGGAGGCCGGGAATCGTCCCGTGTATAAGGGAGCTGAAAAGGATGGCGTTGAGATTTGGGCTTTCTTCGGGGCTTGAAGAGAACGTGCGACGTGGGATAGCGCGGTGGCCCGGGGAGCAAATGCCGATTAATTAGGCTCAGTATCAGGGTGCGGTGCGATCCCACGGCGCAAGAAGGATTCCTCCGACTTTCCGATGGGCTTTGTATAAAGAAATGCTGGTGTGGGATGAAAGAGACTCGAACCGACCCCCTCCCTCCCCCTCCCAAGGCAGCGCCGGCTCTTGATTGAAATTTTATTATTATTATTTTTTTTAATTTTGTTTTGTGGTTCTTCCATCCCTCTAAACTCTCCTCTAACGCAGCGGGCTAAGGCTCTAAAAAGCCACGGCTCGCTCTCAGAAACCCCGCTCCTTCAGTGATTCCCTATTTCAACTAAAAGGATTTAAGTTGACGTATGACCACGTGAGCACATAATACAGCGCATTATTGTGGCATTTGGAGTGGAGACCCGGTCTGGCTCCGTCTGCGATTACGCTTTTCCAGTTTCTGTTCAGAGCAAGCACTGCTTTCTATTTTTTTTTTTCCTGCCCCCATCACCGTCCCCTCAAGAGCTGGCCATTCCGCTGACAGCTTTCGTTCCTTATGGAAAGCTTATTGTCGAGCCGAGAGGACGAAATGCTTCGTTAGAAAGGATGGATTTTATTTTAAGGTATTTCCGTTGATTGTTCATTTATGTGGTGAGTTATTGCTGTTCGAGGCAAAGGTCAGTAGAAAAGGCTGAAGTGAGTGCGTGTGTGTGCGTGCGTGTGTGTGCACCAGGGCCGGGCTGCTTCCCTCTTTGTTTCAATTTGCTGCGGTAAATATTCCGCTCTCCCCTCGCAGCGAGCGGAGCTGCTTTATTTATTTTTCTCCATAGAGATCCCACACTGCTGCTGATGGCCAGCTGCCTCCGCTCCGGCCCCCCGATTGCCATCTTATCGTTATTTATGGCCGGCGGGAGACGGGAAGCCTCCTTTTAGCGTTTTGTGGCATTTTGATGATGATGATGATTTTTATTATGATGATTTTTAATTCAAATACATTTTTCATTTCGGTTGGTGCGTTTGTTTACTTATGTATTTACGGGGGTCGGGGCTGGGGGGGGGGGGGGGGGAGATACAGCCGGTTTGGGGTCGCTCTCGGGTGTGCGACGGAGGTTGTTTTATGCGCGTTTGTTCGGCCGATGCCGAGCTGGAAATCGATGAGTACGCGAGTGTGCTGCCATTTTATTTATGATACTTCGGTGGTGTTTTGCTTGCCGTGCGCGGAGGGCTGCGCGGGCGCTCAGTTCTGTGGCGAGGTTTCCCCTTCCCGAATGAGCCGGGGCTCCTCTTTGCTTCTCCTCGGTGAGGAGGAGCTGAGCCGAGAGGCAGCCGCGTCTTCCGACAATAAGCAGCCTTGGAAGTGCGGCGGGATTTTATTTAATTTGATTTTGTTTGGGTTTTGGTTTTGTTTTCTTCTGGAAAGCGAGAATAACGGGGGTAAGACTGGAAATCATCTTCTAGGTGACCGTATCGCTGGTAATTAATTCATATCCATGCAGCCTTTTCTATAAGTACGTACATATGTACAAATATAAGTACGTACAGTATGTACAAATATGTGCATATACGGATAAATGTGTCCGTGTAGCCACATTATAGGAAAAGAACTTAGAGAGGAGGGCAAAATGTTACATAAAGTGACACTGCCCCGGCGGGTCTCTGCTTTGGGAAAGGTCACAGCTCGGAGGCTCTGTCCTCCAATTTGGTCAGCGCCTATTTCTGCGGTACCAATTTGTCCCCAGTTCCCGGTGCTTCGTGACACGTCTTCTCGGGGTCAGAAAGAGAGAAAGAGACAGAAAAGCGAAGGACGAGATAGAAAACGAGTTGAAAACAAACGGCAAAAAGAAGGCTGTTTCCACGTGAACCTATTCGCGGCCGTTTTGCGGAGACCTCGGGGGCAGAGATGTTTAGCGCTTCTTTCTCGCCTCCTCGCTTTTTAACCGGCTCTCAGAACACATCTGACCCAAACAACTGCTATTTCCCCTCTGGTCGTGCTGAACCAAACCCTGTGTCCCTCTCACTCCGGGCAGGAGCGCTCCTCTGCTCAGCAGCGTGTCTAAAAGCCAAGGTTAGCTTTGCCATGCTTTGAAATGGGCCAAAACGCGCCTCGAAAAGAAAGCGTAAGCTTTAATTGCGGCTCCATTACTTGGCAGCGTTTCCTCTGATTTATGACCCAGCTCGGATGCATGTTGACCCAGTTAAACACTCATAAATAACACGGTCCTGCTCCGGAGCAAAAGAAAGGAGAGTTCTGTAGAGAGGGCTATCTCGGCGGCTTGAGTAAATAGCCTCGCTCTGCTGAGCAAAGAACGAACTGTTCGCGGCAATTCTCTGGTGTTAGAGGATATAAAGAATGATTGGGGTTAACCACGGCTGCTCGCACTGCTCTCTTGCCCAGTCCCTCTGATATCCCCCCCCCTAAAAGCCCTACCGACCTGCAGAATTCGTCCCGCAGCTCCCCGCCTTGCTGTTAAGACCCACAGAGATTCCCCAGAATCAACCTTGAATGATATTCGAAACATTCCGAGATACAGCGCTTTCCGGGCACCATTTTATTCGGAAATTAAGACAGTGCAGGATCCCGTAAACTGAACTTTGAGGGGAAGAAAAAGAGAGTCGTCCGTGAGTCAAGAGTCAGCCCCAAAGGTCCCTCTCCGAGTCCTATCGCTCTCTGCGGAATGTGGCAGAAAGAAAATATTCGGCCCCTGAGAGGGCCAGGCAGATAAAAGCAGCGGGGGCTGTGCGGTGGGACACTTATCCCTCCATCATAAGGCACATTACGAAAGAAAAAAGATCGTCTTTTCGTGTTTAAAATGACCTCTTTGGGGAGAGAGGGGGCGTGGGGAAACGGGCCAAGAGGCAAAACGCTCTTTGCAGGCGGAAAAGACGAATGGAGGAAATACCTCTCTATCCCCACGAACTACTTCGGTTCTCACGGTTAAAGTCCCTCGCAAATCCCTCCGGTTTTACAAAGCACCCCCCGTCCCCACACTCAGATACAGACATGGTGTCAGAATATCCGGCTCCGAAGTTATAAAGCCCTCAGACGGAAGGGCGGCACACGCTCTCCTTAGCGCTCCCGGCCCGGCCCGGCCCGGCCCGGTCCCGGCAGCCGCAGGTTTCCTCGTCCTCGGTGCTCCCTCTGCCACATTCCGCTCTTTATTCCGGAGGGCTCCGTCGGGGCTCGAAGGTGCCTCTCTCTATTCGGTCGGGCACCGGGGCGAGCGACGGCTCAGCAGTTTCAGAAGAAAGTGTGGGGTTGATTATTGACTAAAAAGACTTTTCTTCCGATGCCACATTCACGGGGTTGTTTGAAGCAAAATGCATACGCGGGATTTTTGCTTTCTCCTCTCCTCCTACGCTGCCCGCTTCCCCTTTCATGTGGTGCCTTCTCACTTGTGCCATAAGGAGCAAGTGTTTTCTGTTTTAGTGCTCTGTTTACAGCTTTGGTGCATGAAGTCATAAATCTTGCATAGCCATAAATGACAAAAACCATTGGTATGCGTAAGAGGCCACCCCAGCCTTATAGTGCTTTTTATTTCTCGCTTCCCCCTCGCTTTGTTTGTGCTTTAGGATGACGCCGGGCTCCCTCGTGCTTTGAACGGACTGGTTATATTTTTAATGCCTTAATTAACGAAGTAACGTCAAATTTACACCTCGGCTCTACGCGGAGCCCCGGCTCGGTCTCGGAGCCCAGAGCCCGAGGGGCCGGGGCTGCAACTTGTTTCCAGCCCTCGTGTGAGCGCCCGCTTTGCACGGGCTCTGCTGTGTTGCTCTTGCACAAAAAAGGGGGGGACCCCCCCACCCAAAGCCGGGAAAAAAAGAAGCGAGAGCTTTCCCGGAGGAGCAGGAGGCGGGGAGGGGCTGCGCGGCGCCGGGGCCACGTCCACGCGGGACTGCAGCCCACGCGTCCCCACGCTGCTTCGGGCACCCGGCCCGGGTGTGCGGCACATGGGGGGCGGGGGTGGTGGTGGTGGTGGGGGAAGCGCCTCTGCGCCCGTCCCGAGCACTGGGGATATTTGGGGGG